GGAATCATTTTTCAGACGTTTAATGAATCCTTATGTCAGATGTTTCAGGGTTATGGTTAAAGTAAGCCATGACTTTGTTATTAAGAATAGCATGAAATAGCCATGCTCGTCACACTGCATTTCTACCCCGATGTGTGACTGGTTCGTTTCGGCGCTGGCTCTGCAGAGCTTCTCCCGCGGCCTCTGTCGTCACGGTGACAGTGGCATCTGGGAACTGGGCCAGCCATCCTGTCCCTGAATGACTCTCCCTCACTGCAGATGCAGTGTGCGGAGACGCACACACATAGACACACTCGCGGATCAGATCTGGGCTTGGCCTCACACAGCTATAGTGACAAGGACGTTTTAAGAAGCAGAAAATCCTATATGCTGATACACAATTACCTTCACATTCACAAAGTCACATATAGCAATATATGCAAGTTGAGAGAGTCAGTGAATGGCTTGTCTGTGATGAATGTGTATTCAGGGCTTTCTCGCGAAATGTCAGCCCTTGGCTCTATCTCCGTTTGCCCAGGTGTAAGCAGGACAGGACAGGAATCATTCCCAGGCTTCAGGTGCGAGGACCTGCCTAGGCCCCAGCAGGGCAGGGGGGGTACCTCTGTGTACCACACCATATCAGACTCGTTTGGCAGTGCTGAGGGTACGGATGGCTGTCTTGTGAATGAGAGGGTCATACTGAAGGAGTGATACTTCTCACATGGAGCCGGGACACAGCAGGAGACCTCACAGGTGATGATCAGACACTGCTCAAGACAAAGCATGAACAGCAGGAAGCTTCTCTATTTAAAAAGCTCTTATTTACTTTATGGATCCAGTTATTTACGGTGTCTGCAAACCAGCTTCACCACATTTAAAGAGGATCCTGAAAGAGTACATGAATTTTTGGTCCTGACTACATGTGACTCAGCATCCAGATAAAATACCACTCCTCTTGTGACTGAAAACATAGGTGTGTGCTCAAGGCGACCACGAAGCGCAGGGTGATTTCTGCGTTGTATGTGATGACATGCGCCCGCATGGCAGCTGGACCACACACATGCTGGCAAAGAGGCCCTCTGTCTGTCTGTCAGTCAGTCTGTCTGTTTGTTTACTTGTGCTTCTGGAAAAGCCCCTGCTGTGGCTGTTGGATGGCATCCCAGTCAAACTCCCAGCGCAGTGCGAGCTCGTGCCAAGTGACATGTATGGCAGAGTAACCCCCAGGACTGCCAGAGCACGTGTAGGTCAGTGTGTGTGGGGAGTATTATTCTATGACAATGACCTTTAGAAGTTGTCTTTGTGGGGACGTCCCAGCAAAACAAGACATTTAGAGATATCATCAAATCTTTTTCTATCCATTGTCTAACCACTAATCCTGGTCAGGATTTTGAGCATATTCCAGGCAGCACAGGGCACAGGGCTGTGGTATATCCTGGACTGGATGATCTCATTTTTATGCATGCGGGTGTGTGTCTGTGTTCCTGGCTGTTCCTGATTTGGCAGAGCTTGGGCGCCTCTCTTCTGCAGCTCTGATGTCCTCTTTGTCCATCAGGGTTAACCTCGCTACACGCTAGTAAAGACAACGCAGCGTAGTTGTAGAGCAGTGATGGAGTAGCTAAGTGTCTTACAACGAGGACGCTTTAGGTTCCAGGAGGAACACGCTTCTGTTGCCGTGAATAGCTTTAGTTCACCGTGGAGGTGAGTTTAATTTCTATCAACCCAAAACCAATGAGATAAAATACCCAATTGCCCCCAAAGATCAAAAAAGCACATCTGAATACATTGCACTATATTTCAGCTACTCTGTGATCTCCCTGTTGAGGAGAAAAATGTGGCCAATGGATGGATGGATCTGAAATTTTCCAGTTGTATGGTGTATGTCTGTAACTCAGAGAGGAGCGTCTGTTTCTGAAGAACCAAGAGATACATCTTATATTATCAGGTTTAATGTAATGCCCAGCACTGACTCTGTTGTGGCAATTGCCTTTGTTATCATTACAAGCTTAGGAGTCTTCAATGACATTGCTGGTGGAGTTGGGCTGCTCCCAGTTTGAATCTGCCAGGCACCTGTGAGTTACAGTCTGAGAAGAAGGCTGGATTTATAGGAAGAGAGCAGGAGCTGCCAAGGTCAGCAGCTTTCGGCCTCCTGGTAGGCGTGGGGGCTGCTGATGAACTGGCTCAGATTTAACTGTGGGGATTTAACTACGGACAAAAAGGAACTGGACAGGAAGTTCTCCACCCGAAGGTGGAGAGCTTC